GGCGATCCTGCGCCTGGCTCGCCCGCAGCTGCCTCCGTCCTGGCTCAGTCACGCGGGCTCCCGCCCCGCTCCGGCGCCGGGCCGGCCTCAGGGCCTTTGCACCGACATCCGAAAGTCTCTTCACCCACATGTTGCCCTGGCTCACTGTCCCTACCTTCAGGTCTCTGGTGGCCAGGCCACTTCTGCCACCTGGGTCGGAGCCCCCATCTCGCTCCCCTGTACGGCTGCCTCCACGCTTACCCCTCCCCAGCCCAGTCGCTTCTCCAGCCACCAGCCAGAGTGGTCCCTTTATTTAGATCACGTCCCCCTCGGACTTCATGTCACTCCAAGCCAAAGTGTGAGTCCTTACAGTGACCTAAGAGCCTGTGTGACCTCCCTCTGACCCCTGTCCTCCAGCTCCCTCCGGTGCGCCCGCAGCTCCAGCCCGAACACACCGCACATGCACCTGCCCCAGGGCCTTGGCACCGCTGCTCCTCTGCCTGCAAGGTCCGCCCCTCACTGCATCAGGCCTCAGCTCAAACATCACCATCTCAGACAGGCCTCTTATGCCCGCCCGCCCCCTGCCCTGGCTTCAGAGTAGCCGTCACTGCAAACTCGTCTTGCCTTCCTCACCAAAGCATCCACTCCCAAGGGCGTTGTGTCTCCACCGAGCCTGGCCAAGGCACGTGCTCAGGAAATAAATGCTGGGAGGCAGAATTCAGTCCTTCCTCCAACAATTAGTGGACTTCCCCGTCTAGCCCCATCGCAGGCCTGGCACCCCTCCGGGGTCCTCCCCGCCGCACGGGGCTAGGGGAACGGGTGTCCACGCAGGCCAGTGCTGCAGCGGGCTATGCCAAGTCACAGGGCCTGGGAGTGGCCTGCTGAATCTGGGACTTCACAGGGGTCTGTGGGCCCCTGGCGTGACAACAGGCCTTTAAGCAGGTCCACAGGTCAGGAACAGTTTTCGAAAAATCATCTTTCCAGCCCTCAACTTCCACACTGTCTTAGTCATCTAGCGCTGTTACAACAGAAATACCACAAGGGGATGGCTTCAACAAACAAGTTTATTCTCTCACAGTCTAGTAGGCTAAAAGGGCTGAACTCAGGGCGTCTCGGGAAGCCTTTCTCTCTCTGTCAGCTCCGGAGGAAGGTCTTTGTCATCAATCTTCCCCTGGACTAGGAGCTTCTCTGTGCAGGAACCCCAGGTCCAAAGGACACGCTCTGCTCCCAGCGCTGCTTTCTTGGTGGTATGAGGTCCCCCTGTCTCTTCTGCTCTCTGCTGCTCTCTTTTATATCTCAAAAGAGACTGGATTAAGATACAATCTAATCTCGTAGATTGAGTCCTGCCTCATTAACATAACTGCCTCTAATCCTGCCTAATTAACATCACAGAGATAGGATTTACAACACACAGGAAAATCACATCAGATCACAAAATGGTGGACAATCACACAATACTGGGAACCATGGCCTAGCCAAACTGATACACATATTTTTGGGGGACACAATTCAATCCATGACACACATGGACTCTGTCCAAAAACTGTTAAGTCTGCGAAGGTGCCTGCCAGTTCCCCGGCCCCCTGACCTTCCCCAGTTGCCTCCCTCCCGGTCCACAAAAGAAAGCTCCAGGGGCTCCCAAACTCAGGGGCAAGTGCCCCACTCCCACCCGCTTACCTAGGTGTACTTGCTTACCTAGGGCTCACACCTGATAAAGAAAACGAGGCTCAGAATTGATGGGGAGCCCTCGAGAAGGTCTATTTGTTGATGGACACCAGGACCAACTGAACACAAACTCCAGCCCCATCCATCTCGAAGAAATGCCTCCAGCCCCATTTTACTTGCTTGTTCAAGAACGATTGATCACAACATCTGATACACTGAGGCTGCTTTGGCTGAGCCAGAAGACGAAACCTTAACAGAGCCTCAGGGCGCAGATATAAAAAGAAACACAATTCATATACACGTTTGTGTTTTGGAGAAGTCCGATGGTGTGTGAGGGACGAAAAACCACCACATGGAACTAGATGGCACAAGGAGGCCACTCAAGAGGGACAGCAAATGCAAAACGGAGACCAGAAGGAAAGGACCCGCTTCCAAAGTGACTTAGCTGGCATTGGTCTCGTTAAAAAAGGTGGCATCACAGTTCTTGTTTTAAATCAGTATCTGTGATACACCAGAAATCACCCCCATTGCAACGGTTTAAATGGCTGTTGAAATATTGTAGGTGTCAACTTCAAAATGAAAATATTTGTAAAACTCCTATCTGATAAAAGACTTGTATACGCAAGTATAGAAAGAACTCTTAAAATTCAACAGTAAGAAAACGAACCCAATTTTAAAAAGACACCTGTCGCCACATCTACTGAGAGAATGAAGACCATTCTCAGCAACCAGACTGTCGACATTCCAGAAAATGTCGACATCACTCTGAAGGGACGCGCGGTTATTGTGAAGGGCCCCAGAGGAATCTTGCAGAGGGACTTCAATCACATCAATGTAGAACTCAGTCTCCTTGGAAAGAAACCGAAGAGGCTTCGCGCTGACAAATGGTGGGGAAATAGATAGGGACTGGCTACAGTTCGCACTCTCTGTAGTCACGTACAGAACATGATCAAGGGGGTTCCACTGGGCTCCCGTTACAAGATGAGGTCTGTGTATGCTCACTTCCCCATCAACGTTGTTATTCAGGAGAGTGGGTCACTTGTTGAAATCCGAAACTTCCTGGGTGAAAAATATATCCGTAGGGTTCAGATGAGGCCAGGTGTTGCTTGTTCAGTATCTCAACCCCAGAAAGATGAGTTAGTTAATTCTTGAAGGAAATGACATTGAACTTGTATCAAATTCAGCTGCTTTAATACAGCAAGCGGCGACAGTTAAAAACAAGGATATCCAAAGTTTTTTGGATGGTATTCATGTCTCTGAAAAAGGACTGATGAAGCGGATGATTCCTATGACTTACAATAAAATTCCTTTATTCAAAAAAATAAAAAAAGACACCTGTCATGGATTGAATTCTGTTCGCCAAAAATATGTGTCAACTTAGCTAGGCCATGATGCCCAGTATTGTGTGATTGTCCTCCATTTTGTCATCTGATGTGATTTTCCTATGTGTTGTAAATCCTACCTCTAGGATGTTAATGAGGTGGGATAGGCGGCAGTCATGTTAGTGAGGCAGGACTCAATCTACAAGATTAGGTAGTGTCTTAAGTCAATCTCTCTCGAGATATAAAAGAGAGAAGTGGGCAGAAAGACATGGGGACCTCATACCACCAAGAAAGCAGCGCTAGGAGCAGAGTGCGTCCTTTGGACCCAAGGTCCCTGCACCTGAAAATCTCCTAGACTGGGGGAAGACTGATGACAACGACCTTCTCCCAGAGTCGCCAGAGAGAAAGCCTTCCCCTGGAGCTGGCGCCCTGAATTCAGACTTCTAGCCTCCTAGACTGTGACAGAATAAACTTGTTTGTTAAAACCATCCGCTGGTGGTGTTTCTGTTACAGCAGCACTAGATAACTAAGACAGAATCTGGTAGCAGGAGAGTAGGGTGCTGCTCTAACAGATACCTAAAATGTGAAAGCAGTTTTGAAACTGTGAATGGATAGAGGCTGGAAGAGTTTTAAAGTGCCTAAGAGTAAAAGCCTAGATTGCCTTGAAGAGACTGTTGGTGGAATTACGGACGTCAAAGACAATTCTGGTGAGGACTCGGAAGTGAGGAGAGCTGTTATACGGATACTGGAGATGGCGTAGATGGCGAGAAGCAGCAGCAGAGAACCGGGAGCGGCAGAACCAGGAGACCAGCGCGACACAGCGCTGGAGTTCACCCACAGAGAGCTGAGTGCCTTTGCGAAGGAGGCTTCCTGGTGGAGTGGGGTGCCTCTGAGCACTTATCGGTGGAGCTAGGCTTGCCAACCCACAGAGCAAGGGAGCTGAGTGCCTTACGGCCGAAATTTACTAGCGGAGTGGGGTGTCTCCAGGCACTTATCAGTGGAGCTAAAGAACTCTGGAACACTTGCCCCCCAGCAGGGCAGACAGAGGCTGTGAAGCCCGAAGGGCAGAGAGGCCAAGGAACACGGGAAGCAGAGCTGCCTCGGTCTCAAAGGGTGGAGTCGCCACCAGATGGACTAAGAGAATGGGGCC